ACGTCAGGCTACCTCTGCCCTGCGATCACAAACAGATCTATGTGGAGTTTTCTGTACTCTATTGAGAATTAGCTTTGATCAGATGACAGTCAGATTCTGCTTTTCAGCAACAAATTCTTCAAGTGGATCTGCTTTGAAGTAAACTTTAAGTGTTTAAAGAAACTGCTGCCCACCATTATGCTTGGTGGAGGTTATGTGGTGCTGTGGGTCTGTTTTCTTTGATTCTACGTCATCCAGGTCATAGTCATTCCAAAAGAGGAAAATAAAACAATCCACTGGACGTTGTTTCCGAGTTTGAAGACATTTCGCCTCCCATGCAGGAGGCTTTTTCATTTCAAAATGACAGAATTATTGTTGAGTTTGAGGCCTTGTTTTGGCTTAGGAAACATGCAAGATATTTGCAGTCTCTGTACAGCAATCCTGGCAGTGCTAATAAAGAGCAAAAGGTTGAAACACTCAAAGAAGTTCTGTCCTTTTCAGCTCCACCTCATTGCATTGAACGCCCCTCAGTCTGGCAACATGCGAGGGATTCGTGGTGCAGACTTCCTGTGCTTCCAGCAGGCTCGAGCTGTTGGTCTTAAAGGAACATTCAGGGCCTTCCTGTCCTCCAAGCTTCAGGACCTCTACACCATCGTCCGCAGGTCGGACCGAGATTCATTCCCCATCATGAACCTCAAGGTGAGACACTACCGCCCTGGATATAACTGTATTATCAACAAATCTGCTTGAATTCAGCTGCTGAATTTCATTCAATAAATCTGATATTGATCCACCTTTAAAAAGTAATCTTAACTTTACAATCTGTTTTTAAGAGAAGTGATCACAAAAGCAGTGTAGCATTCAACAAAAATATGCGGACATAGATATAATTCATTGCAATAATAACATCTGCTGCTATTGAGATGTGTTGTTTTCATTCTGAATGGTGCTTTAAAAGAATTCAATTTGTGTTTGTGAATTTAAACTTGATTGAATTAATTTTCTCCTTTCAGAACCAAGTGTTGTTCAGCAGCTGGGAGTCCATCTTCAGTGAAGACAAAAGCAAAATGAGGGAGAATGTACCTTTATACTCGTTTGATGGTAGAGACATCCTCAGGGACAGTGCATGGTGAGTCCTTGTAAACCAGGCCAGATTTTAATCCGTGACCGTGTGTGTTTCCACGCCTGATTTAAAGTTGTTGTTGTTTGTTTTTTTTGCTCCCCCCAGGCCAGAAAAGATGGTCTGGCACGGATCTAGCAAAAAGGGCCATCGGCAAATGGATCATTACTGTGAAACATGGCGGGCGGGCGATCGTGCGGTGACGGGCCTGGCGTCGTCCCTGCAGAGCGGCCATCTCCTGCAGCAGACGCCCAGCAGCTGTTCCAGCTCCTACGTCGTCCTTTGCATAGAGAACGCCTTCACATCGCCCTCTAAATAATGAATCCATCCTTCTTTTCCTTTGGTCCTCTGTGTTCAGGGCTCTAGTTGACACATTGTTTTGTAAACTCAGCAGGTAAATTTTGATCCCCTTTCTTTTACATTTTACACTTGCTTGTTAACATGTGGCATCGGATGAACTGCCGCCTGAGGATTTTCTAGCCTGGCAGGACATGCAGCATCCATAAACGCCAAAGAAAAGGCTCCAGCAGAACGCCTTTGGTCCTTTTTAAACCCAGAACATTGGCACATATTTTCTTTAAGACGTAAACCAGTATCATTCCCGAATTTAATCTTGTTTTAAAAAAGTGTATATGACAATGTTTTATTATTTGTGTTCAATTGTTATGTTCTGAATGTTTCCTTTGTCTTTATCCATCCTTTACTTTCTCTATTTCTTTTTAGAAAGCTTTTTCTTCTTATTCTTCCCAGTTCCAGTGTAGATTTGGGGTAATGATGGATTACAGCAAATTTATGAGGATTATTTCTAAAAGAAGATATTAGGTATTTATTTTCAAATGAAGTTATAAAAGGAAAAATGGATACTCTCATTATATTTCTACACAACATATAGGTTTTGATAAGAAATTGTGCCTTATCACACTCCCGGTTTCTCTTATATATGATAACAAAACGCTATGAACATTTTTACTGACGGTTTTCAAATACTGGTGCATTTAACTGGTTTAAATTATCCAAGTAGGACATCTAAGGGGCAATACTTTTTTATCAAAATGGAAAATTCTGAGAAAACTCTAAGATAATTATTTTGCCATTTTAACACTTTGTTAAACTTTTATATACGCAGACTGAAAAAAGTGGCTATTTGTCAGTAAAACCAGCATTCAGAACTAGTCAGAGTTTCATACTTCTTTGTTTTTATTTTACAGGCATATGTAGCCTCAGTGTTTCAGATGTCTCAACTGTATCTGTGAATATGCTTTTTTTTGATGACCAATTGCGCTGTACTGTTTCACCCAGGCACTGAATTAAAGACTTTACAATTACTGTTTTCCTGTTCTGTGGAGAAGTTCAATAATTATTTCCTCACTTTGTTGGTTACATTTATTCTATATAGGATCACAGACTATAGCACAAAGCTTTTAAAGTTGGTTAGGGTTTCCTTTTCCTTTTTATTTTTGGTTTTTTGGGGAGTAAACTGTAATAAAATGCTGTTTCTGGTCATCTAAAAATCCCTTTCAAAGAACTGGCTGTGGGAATCAGGACAAAACAATGCTAACATGCTAAACACACCTGCCGAAAGGGAGCAACAACCCAACTGATTGTCCAGAGCCCAGATTCGAGGGGTCTTTTGCAACAAATATAATTAGTTTTTTAAACATGTTTGCCACGTTTCTTGAAAAATATCTATTCCTATTATTGCTGATGAAGTTTCTCGGTCATCCATGTCATAGTCATTTCGTAAAAGTTCAAAAAAAATCCACTGGACTTGGTTTCCAAGATTTGTAGACGTTGCGCTTCCCCTCCAGGAAGCTTTCTCAATTAAAATGTCTGGATCCGCAGTGAGTTTGAGGCTTTATATAGACAAGGCCTTTTATTGCTTGGAAACATGCAAATGGAAACCGACCCACAACCCACTGGAAAACGACCCACTCATCATTTTCCATTTGCATGCTTCCAAGCAATATAAGGCCTTGTCTATATAAAGCCTCAAACTCACTGCGGATCCAGACATTTGAATTGAGAAAGCTTCCTGGAGATGTGGCCAAACGTCTTCAAATCTTGGAAACCAAGCCCAGTGGATTTTTTTGAACTTTTACGGATTCCTATTGTTACTTTCTTTCAATTATCCACTGCAGTATTGGGGAGTACCCTCACCAGCCATTCCTTCTAGCTGGTTATGCTCCTGATGCAGTTTCTCTGATGTTTGCCAAGCTGCTATACATGAGGCTGGCTGTGCTGCAAGTGGAGACAGGAAAATAAAAACCTAAATCTTCTTCCCCTTCGTACACGGTCAGGCAGCAGCTCCATGACTTTAACATGAAGGGTACAACAGCTCTCACCTGAAGAAGCTGCCTCAAGCCGCAGGGATGGCCTCACTTTAGATCGACCTCAACTGGAAAAGCCTAAAAAGGCGGACATAGCTTGATGGATTAAAATACTCAGCCGTTTTTGTCAATGGTTTGTTTCCTCTCTTTTCTAGATCAAGTTATAATTAATGGACCAATGGGTATTGTTAAGAGGTTGAGAGGTTTTGAATTTGGCTGACGTGACTTCATGGTGCGTCCACGGCTGCAACAATGCAAATACACAATCCTACTGTACAGCCTTAACTGCCTACTAAAGATTTTGACCAGAGCATTTTGTGGTCCAATTTAAACATATGACACAAGTTGAAATCACACAAGTAAAAATCTGTAAACGGGATCAAATGTGATTGTAGCCGGTATGGAAAGCCAAATGTGCCGCATATTATTAAATTAAAAACTTGAAGGATCTGTATTTGTAAATTAAAACATTGAAATGTTACTTGAGATGAATGCATTAAATAAATATAGTTTTTTTTTATCCTTAATAGATAAATAATACAATATTTTTCACTTATTTAATCAACTGTTAAATATGTTTCTTTTGCTTCCAGAAAAGGTTACTTAAAATGTAATATTTTAGGCAAGACCTCATTCAAAGAGTGATCAATCAATATATATATATATATAT